ACAGTATCTAAAAGATACTCATGTCTGGGTAACATATTAGTTCGAAAAATAACACCTTAAACAGAAAAATTTGGAGAACCTTAGTACGCGGGTGTTTGACAAGCGGAATGCGAGGGACTGAAAAGCAAATTCATCTGCTTTTTGCTTTGGGCAGAGGTTTTCAGTTTTAGAATTAGACTAGAGTCAATGCCAAATAAATTTTACTACTTTCATGTATTGAATTTCATGTACCTAATGTATATGGTATATTCTTGGAAACCTTTTAACGATTTCTGATTTATGTAATTTTGTTTACCTCGCAGGCCTTGCAACAGTTTGAGTCTTTTATGGCTCTGACAAACTTGGTGCAAATGAACGACGAAGTAAGGTAAGACAAGAAAAAAAATAATACCCCGATTGATTAAAATGTTAACTCTCTTTCTCTATTGCATGGGAATTACTTGAGCAACAAAGGGATGACCGTACTATTCTGCCCCAAAATGTATTGTTATGTTAGGGGGGCTGCGAACATATCATCACATTTTTACAAAATGACTAATTGTCCTTGGTGCTGCAACATATGCACTAGATAATGTTGGTTTTAAATGTAAAATGTAGATTGGCCAACTCAGTTGATAAAACAAATATTGCCCTATAACTCCCACTAACGCAGCACCACAGTTTCTTTAGAAACTCACCCCTTTTTACACTAGATAGTTACCCAGTTTGTATTACAGAAGTTTTTGCAGCAAAGGTTTTATGGGTGAGTGACAGTTGTTTTGCGTTGCGTGATCACAGTTCACAGTTTGATAGCCACAGGGCACGAATACCTATGAATGTACGTTCTTAAGCTATACCACTGAAAGGTACCATGCTCCAGAAACCAACAAGAACTTCAATCGAGGAACACAAGATTCACCTATCGCGAAACAACTGCGACACTTATACAGTTCGCAAGAGCAATTTTGCTCGGAGGGAAGGATGCCTGGCGACTGAGTTTTTCCGGCTCTTTATCGCAACACGATCATATCGTACCGTGGCTTTTCCCTAGCCCCACAAGCACTTTCAAAAGTAGCTGCTGCTGCAGTGATTTTGTCACTAGCTTTTCTGTTTGTGAATGTAGGCGGCATATTGTGAAAGAAGGCTGATAGTTTCGAAAGAAACTGTTTGGGGCTGCGTCGGTGGAAGTAACGAAATAATTTGGATATATCAACAAAGTTGAAATGGTAAATTGGCCACCGTAACGATTACAAAAGCTGA